TGAGGACCTGATTAACCACATGGAAGTTAAAGTACTAATTGCAGTCTTTTCTCCTCCAGAATTTAAGCAGACCATCTAAGCTTGGTTTGGTTTTTTTTTTCCCAGCATGCTTCTCCCTGGGCATATGAACAGTATAACAATGGTCCTGAATTCTGAACAGCTCAGTTATGCTCAATTCTCTGCCAAGACAGCTGTACATTCTTATTATTCTGGTTATAATTGGTTTAACTGCCTTCTCTGATTTAACTCACTCAATATTGTTGCACATAGCAATGGCAAGAGTAGATATTTTTTAAAATGTTTTCACTGATGAGATGGAATAAATTACTGGCTCTTCACAACTGAGATGCTGAGACAAATACCAATCTGACTCTGTGCTGCTAACTGACTTACCAGCCTTCAAAGAGCAGTTATTTGTTTCCAATAGTTCAGCAGCTGGGATGGCCAATGCAGCTGCTACCTCCATTGAACTGTGCTGGATAATAATCCTTCATTTCTATACAGTGCTCAAGACAACATTCAGTCAAATTTACAAGTCATCTTGGGCAAGTTCTATCCACAACTTATTCTATACATGCTGTGTATGGCTCTATGATTAGGTATGGGATATTTGCCTCCTAAAATTCACAGAGAAGTCAGTCAAACTTGTTACAAATGTCAAGAGTTATAATTACTATTACTGAGTTAAGGTCTGTGGAAAGAAATAGCTCATCTCTTTTACAAGCCATTAGTACTGCCAGCTTTAGTTGAAACTTAAAACCACACCTGGGTTTAAGGCTCATCTTCAGTTTTCAATACATAGGAGAGCAAACTAAGTTTTACTTCTGAGGTGGTTAACCAGTCCTTAGACTGGTTTCACTTAGCATGTTTTGATTTGCCTGTATCTCACTTGGGTTACTTGTGATTTTCTTCCACTTGCCCCCAGCAGTGTTATCAGGGCAACAAACAGGCTGGGTCCTGAACAGCTACAAGGCTAACAAAACTCCTGTTGCACAGGATGCATCACTGGCTCTTATGTAAATAACAGAAAGGAGCCAGATGGATTCCCAGTCCTAGTGAAATTGTAGCGGCAAAAAATCTAGCTTTCAACTCAAACCAAATCATTGATGCTGAAAAATTCACCAAGACAGGTCAAGTACTTAACATCATAAATCATAACAATGTCTCATTTACCATGACAAGAACCAAGCTGTCTCATTTTCCCTACAGTCAATTTAAATAACAGCAAGAATCAAGTGGCTTTATGCTACAGCTTTCCAAAACTTCATTCCAAGAATCAATTTGTCATCTTTGTGTATGTATACTATGACCTTGAAAAGTCTGCTTATTGTGTCTTTTTATTATCATTGTTTAAAAAGCTCCTTTATCTACAAAACTATCTGACATTCATTCATTTTGTGGCTGAACACAGCAAGAGCAATATTCACCAAACTGCTGACAAGCATCTGCAACACTTTCTCATTAAAGTTTTCAACCACAGAGACTTTGAATTGGAAAACAGTTCAAAAAATTTGTTTTTGTAGAAAGAAGACTTCTCCATCTCTCCTCATGATCATCTTGCTCCACTATATATATTAAAGCCAAATGTGATGATATACAAGATACTCATGTACATTGTCACCTGAGTTCTCTGAAGAGAGTCTATATGCTCAAGGGGCTCAACACTCTTGAGGATGACTGTTCCTTTGAAGAAATTCTCAAAGGGATCACAGATCAAGTATGTCTTGTTTAAGACCCCAGGATGGTCTTCTAGCCAATTACAGTACAGACAAGTAATGCAAAGTAAAATAGGACAGAGTTTTGACCTGGTAATGTAGAGGAGCTGCAGTACTGGAAGAACCCATAGAGGAACCCACCACTACCAAGAACCCATAAGGTGACTGCCGCCTTATTGCTTTAGCTGTTAGCATTGTTTTTGCAATCTGGATGAGGGAACAAGTAATATATTAATATGTAACTATACTGCTGTAACTGTCTTCAGGGTGATTGAAGTCTGCTAGTCACTTACATACATACACTTTACAAAGAATTAACAGATTAATTTGAGTAGAAATCAAGACACAAGAAAACTACAGTGCCAACTAAGGCAGCATATCTGCACATAAGCACATGTCTTACATTCTCTGCAGAGAAGCTTTTCATAGCATCTCTGTTTTGCCTGTGCTGCCTCTTCCCAATATCCTATTTAGTCACTGGCAACTTGCTGGAAAAATCTGAAAGAAGACATTCACTTTTTTTAGTTATGTAAAGTTTTAGTAATTACAACACCTCATATTGTAAGTTTGGAGTCTTCAGACACTTCTTTAGATTTAGAAATAACCTAGACAATGAACATATTCTTGCAAAATTATTTACAAAAACCCTTTCATCTTCAAAAACTACTTGGTTCCTATTACTTATTCCTCAGCTACAGACTATCTCAATCTGACATGACAACTTCCACAAAGATTTGATGACATGGAGGACAGCAGGTTTTACAAATATCATGGGGTAAACAGAAGCAGGCAGACAAAGAAGCCACAAAGGCTCTTTTCAAGAAAGCACTCTTGAAGCTATTAAAAGATTTAGCTGTGGTCCAAAGCAAAGTTGGGAGCTAGCCATCTACTGTTGGGATTCCAGCTCCAACTCCTGTGCTGCTGCAAAACCACTGCCCTATCTCAGTTTCCTTTACCGATTCATTCAGCTTGACTAAGTTAAAAGCAATGAAATTTTTGTAGTACACAGTCAATTCAGAGGTGCTTGCCAGTGACCCCATTTAACACTATTTCTCCACTTGTCTTTCACAGTTAGCAACTATTACCAGTACCCATCTACTCCTTATTTATTCATAGTCAAACCAGCTGCAGGCAGTAGTCCTCCAGAGCCCCACTTGTAATTCCACAGAATCCAAACACAAGTTTTTCAGCCAAAGCCCTTAAACAAAGAAAAAATTTTGTCATCTTATCACTAATCAGCTGCTTAGTTCACCCAACTGAACTTTTGCCAACTTCATCCACATAAAATGTCCACAAAGTAATATTATCTCTAAAGCCTTAAGGCAATTTTAAAAATGCATGACTGGGAAACAGCACACAGCAGAAAATAAATAGAAAAGCACTTTCATGCAAAAATCATCCTGTGAGGTGCTTATCTTAACTCAAAGTTGACTTAGATGCTTAAAAAGCCAGTTAACACTTTTACAAGACCTGCAGCTGAGAAATCCTTTCAGATTTAACAGGGTTCTGGCTATCCAGGTGGTACCCCTCACTTATGAAAAGTGCTAAAGCTTATATAGAAAGTGGACATACAGAAATTTCTTGGAAATGAGACACCTATCAAAAACCAAAACCACTCATTTTCTTGTTAGAATGCCTAGGAATTCTGGTACTTCTTGGCACCAAATTAGCAGGATGTAGCTCAACATGCATTTTAAGCAACATGAGAATAGAAACGATCTTTTGAGTTTCTTTTTTGGCCATATTAGTTCGGATGGATTAGATTGGATGGATCTTGCTGGTATAATGGCAGGAGAACAGTGTGGAATGGAAGTTACTTCCTTTCTCCTGGCTTGAACAAATGCCACACAGCAGCCTCAGAAAGAGACAAAAATGCCTGAGTTTAAATACTGCAAACAGAAATCAGTTACACATTCCTTGCTTCCTGCTTCATTAAGCAAAACAGATACTGGAAGAAACCCAAAACAAGCAACGCCTAAGCAGAGCACAGATTGTTGGCAAATCACCAGCTATAAAAACCTCAAACTAAGGTTTAAGACTACAGCAAGACAACTTTTTGTGTAGTGTGAAGCTTGCTTAATACCTGTACTGGAGAGCAGGGAGTCAACTCCTGTAGCTTGGTACAGGTCTCTCCCATGGACCTCTCGGAAGCACTCCAAGCTAGCACAGACACAGGCTGCTGCCCAGCTGTACTTGCCTCTCTGCTGAGCAACCACCTACACACACTGCTGGCACTTGAGTCTGTTCTCAGATAATATAAGCAAACCAAATGAAAACTGTTATAACAGGAAAATTCTCAAGTCATATCTCCACTGAGCTTTTCCACTGTAAGTTATCAAGCAGGTTGGCTGGTCAGGCACATGTTCAAAAGCCAATTCACTTCTTCAGCATACACTACCACCCCCTCGTGGCCAGATCCCTCAAGCTCCAAGAATTCAATATATACTGCAGTTAGAATTCTAAGAGCCTCCAAACTAAATGACACCAACAGATCCTCAATAAACTACATCAGCAACCTGTGTGAGCTGCTCACAACTTTTAATTACCTGTGAAGAGGGGAAAGTAACCTACATGCAAACTGTACCATTTCAGCTTCAAGGCAGCTTAAAGGGCTACTTGCTTCATGCTGTAACTGAAGGAGGCTGCTACCCATAGGGAAATGAGACACAAGAATCTGTCATTACGACTTTAAATACCCAGAGAGTAGTACAAATTTTCCCTTTTTTACCTCTATAATGAAATAGGAAAAATAAGACAATAAAGACAAATATGCTGAATTTATTCTCCTAGTCCATTAAGTTCAGATTTTGAAAAATGCCTCCAGCTCCCCAAGTAAAAAGGGATTTCAGAAACATTTCCACATTCACTTTAATTGAAATGAAAATTGAAAGCACTGTGCCTGCAATAAACCAGCACACAACTATAAAAGATATAACAGCAAAATACTCTGAAAGCAATGTTTAAAGTAGGGCAAATAACAAAGGACAGACAATGGAAAGAAAAAGAAGCTAGCTAGAATAGCTTGACAGAAAACAAAAATCAGTACAAGAAAACAGTGTGTCTTAGGCAAGACTAAGATGACTTACCTGTAGCTGAAAACTTTTTATGCTGTTTTTAGGCTGATCTGCCAAGCAGAATTGTAAATGGTTTATTGACCCAGAAATTTCAACTGCAGATTTACTAATGGATAATTATCAAAGTGTCCACTGAATGTGTTATCTGTCAAAGTGATAGAGGCTCTTTCTGGCTTCCCCTTTCTACATGCTTACTGCTAGAAAGACTCACCAATAGTTGTACCATCTTCACCCATAATGCACTTCACGGAGGTGATGATTTGCTCCACAACAGGAGGCGACATTGATGTTGCATACGCAGCACTGTGAGAGTATGTCCTGAGGTAATCAATCAGTTCCTAGCAAAACACAAGAGGCATCAGACATAGCCTTCCTAGCACTCAGAGAAATACTTCTGTCATACCTTCAATCACAATAAAACAGGGCACCACAAAAAAAAACCTCTTTCAGAATGCCCCATTAGAGAACAAGTATCTCAAGGATTAATTTTACAGTACAAGAAACAGCAGGGACATGACAACTTGTAATAATGTCACAGTGCAGGAACGTGTGTTGATCAGAGACAAATGTCTATGACAGACTTGTTTAGCTAACACCATCAACAGTGGATTGCAACAAAGGTTTGCATTATGCTTGCATTACTTGAGCTGTGTCCAGGGTGAGTTTCCAAAGTGTTTATTATTACAGTGTGAATATAAAGAAAATGAAATAGTGGGGAGCAGGATCCATAGGTGTTTATGGATCATGCTCAATATACTTTTTTCCCCACAAAAAACACCAAATAAGGGAACAGGTCACAAAATCTCTCTCGTTCATGAGCACAATATAAATAAAGCAGTAGGTGTCATTTGAGAATGCACAAACCTCAGCCTGATTTTTCCGCATTTCCCACTTAAACACATCCTATTTCTCTTAGAGGGCAAAAGCAGCTCATATAGGAACAAAGGACCAACACACCTTACATCTAGACTGCTTGTTAACTGTACAAAAACCATGCTAAAATATAAACATCAGTATGAATGCCAGGAGAGATTCTGTCTTTTGCTACCACAAAATGAATAATGAACTCTGTAGCTATCACAAGCTGCAAATGCATGATAAAAACCTCCAGAAGTGTACTGCTGCCATCTGCCTAGGGTCAGAGTTGAGGAAAGGAGGTCATAAAGGGACTTTGAAATAAACTAGGTAAGAAGATTTAAAGCCTCTTACCTATGAAGCAATCCCTCAATCAGTAGCTAAAACAGTTGTAAAGGCCTCTTAGCTGCTTTACCTTATGCCATGGAGTCAATCCCACTAGCTTACTACCTTTGGAAAAAGATTTATATGATTTTTTTTTCTGGGGAAGTTGTTGAAGTAATTTTAATCTAACTGTAGTAAACACCCTCCAAGGAATATCTCGAAGTTCCATCTCCACTTATTGGTGGAAGTAATTATCACAATTGATACATAAAAAATTATTGTCCTGGTAGGAAAATGGTAGAATTTTACCCTCCAATAAAGCTTAGAAGCCTAATCTGTGAGATCAGAAATTTTATGATATGAGAAAGGTGACACAGAGAATTGTCTACACCATCCCTCTGAGAATTAGAGGCTGGCAAGTGCAACACTTTCTAAGCTGTATTTTCCAATAGAAGGAGACAGTAGCCAAAAAAATATCCTCAAAAACCTCAAAACCTCAAACAAATAAAATACCAAAACAAAGAAACAAAAACCAAAACAATCAACCAGCCAAAAAAGAAAAAGGGAAAAAGAGTCATTTCAACCTGCTTGTGCCCAGGGGAAATCAATTCTACCAGACTAACCTAAGAGGATTTTCCTCCAAACAGGTTGAAAAACTTGAATTTCTTGCATTTTTCCTTCAGGTCTCATTAAAAGTACCATCAAGAAATCCCTGCTTCCTGGCTCCTGGCCCTTCCTAGAAGAGTATTGCATCACTACTGTTCATTCTGCAAACTCAGATCATCACTGACCATGTGAGAACTACACAATTACGACGTATTTTACTAGACTAGACTCTTCTGCACTGTAGACTTCCACAGTATTAGACAGCATGTAAAATTATGAAACAAATGGACAATAGGGTACTTGAGGAATAAATTAAATTTGAAATGCTTAACCAAGAATTCCACCACCTGCCTGAAATGGACTTTACCACCAGCCATGATATTCCCAGCTTTTTACCTTCTTGCCCCCAATGTATCCTCCTGCAGCTCCAAAGCTTTTCGTGAATGTTCCCATCATAACATCCACATCTTCAGGATTGAGTCCAAAATAATCCACTACACCCCGGCCACTGGGACCCAGGGCACCTATACTATGAGCTTCATCAAGGTACAGATAGGATTTGTACTTCTTCTTAAGGGCAATCACTTCAGGCAAACGGACTATGGATCCCTCCATACTGTTGAGAAACAAAAATTCAGTATGAGTTGACTTAATTGTTGGGGACCACCTCATAGAGACTAAAATCACTAAGCTTTAATTTCTTCACTATTTCAGTAATTACAAACACTTAAAATTTGCTAGACTCATCACAGTCTGCAGAGATGCACCTCTCCTCCTTGCACCTGGGGCCCAGATCTCTCCTTTCTACCTGTTCAGCATCTCTGGGATGCTGACACACAGACTAAACAGTAGCAGCAACCAGAAGTTAGGGCACAGGAATGTGTTCAGTGATAATTCATTAATAAAATTATCTCAGTTTGACTTCCACTCTAATGTCAGTATTCTGACTTAACATCTACTTACCTGATGTTTCTAAGAACTGACTAGGCTTTCATTAATAACACTTCCAAACACCACATTTTGTACTGAAAGTCACTAGGATTTAAATGCCTAACACAGCTATGCCTACTGCTCCTACTCACTCTTAGCAAAAAAATTAAATTTGTACAATTCCGTTCACACTAAAATAATCTAGTAAGCACAGAAAGAATGGAATGGACAAGCAACTTAAGACCTCAGCTCTGATATAAGCAATCAGTTTTGATTAATTAATTTCTACAATATAATCAGGATGTGGGAAACATTGTGATAACACCAGCTGCAGCTACAGTTCTAGCAACAGAAAGCCCAGGATGTGAGACATACACAGTGTAATGTAATTAGCAGATGAGACCAATGAAATAACTATGAAGTGACAATATTCATCGTTTGATTTGGCAAAGAAACCCAAACACTAAGCATTTAGATCTCATGTGGAGGGTCTTAGGATTAGAAAGAATAGTTTGTACCTGTATATTCCTTCCACCAAGATAAGAATTTTTTTCCAGGGCCTCCGTGTACGAGGTTGCCCATGCACAATAGCATCTTTGAGCAGCTTCTCCAGGCTTTGCATATCTGCACCAGAAATTACTGTTAAATGGTACCAAAACAGCTACTAGCTTGAACTTTGACGTGACTAAAGACAGCAATATTCCAAAAAGGCACAAATTGCACCAGCATGGAGGACAGACCATATACAAGTCAATAAGCACAGGCTTCATCTCCCTACAGGACCATGGATGAAACTGAGAGGAATAGGTGACTGTGTGAACTCCAAGGAAGAGTTTCATCATTCTAAACTAAAAGCACAAGTTAGAGCATTAGGCACAAACAAAGAAAGGGTGGTGGTGGGGGGGGGGGTTATAAAAAAAGGAAGGTATCTCATTCTGATGAAAAGAGAAGGCATTTTAGTAGTACAAATGTCCTTGTGGATAGAAATAATTCAGAACAGAACAACAGAATAGAGCTAGAACACAACAAGTTCAAGGATAATGAATTAAAGATAAGAAGAAGATAGACCAAAGTGCAGGAAAATAAGCAAGGCAAGTGTACTTTTTTATTTCTTTGTTTAAAATTGAAGGGATTGGAAGTGAGAACAGGAAGCCTCTAAACCAAAGGAGAAAAGGAAAAAAGAGAACCACCAGTGCAGAAAAAAGGATAATGTTCAGCATATCAGAAACTAGACAGATGAAACTGTTAGTAGAAGCATATTCTGAAATCTTACAAGCTTTGATTACAAATACTTGATGTGATCCTTAGAGACCTAACCAATGTGAACAAATGCATACATGTGGAATCAGTCCTGAAAAAAACTTCAAGGAAAAGAGTGAAGATGGGATTAATCAAAGCATAAAAGCCAAGTTCTGAGCAAGAGATAGATATAAACACTAGGGTGTGAAAAAGAGAACAAATTAATCATGGAAAGAGAACTGGTAGACTAGTGCAATTGTAACAGCAAGAGGAGCTTGTGAATTAGATCTAGAATAAAACTAAACAGCACAGTAGGTCAGTTAATGTACTGTTAAAAGACAGCTAAGGTTCAGAAAGTCAATGATGAAGAAATCAGCAGTGTAGTCCCTGTCTCCAACAGGTCTCTCAATGAAGGAAAGACAAGGTTAGTGCAATTAGAGAGAACAATGGAAAATAAACTTCTACTCTAATTTTTCAAGAAGAAGGGGAAGATGAGTCTGAGCTTAATGAAAAGAACTACAGAATAAAGCAGGAAAAAAAATAAAAACATTTTACAAGGAATTTCAGGGGAAGCTTTCATTCCCCCCCCCTCAGTTTCTAAAAATCTGATTATGAATGAAGCCATTAACATCTTAAGAAAATCACATTAAAAAGGTAGCATAGAGTATAACAAGAGTAGGACTGAGAACACATACAGAAATATGAACTGAACATCATCTTGATAACCAAGACCATTGTTTGCATTTTGCCTTGATTCTAATATGCCACTACATTCTCTTCAACAAAAACCCACCATCTAAAATGTTTCTAGAATATCCCACAATTTCACCAGGGGAAAGCACATTCCCACAAATCATCTATTTTTCATCACAGCAGCTTCTAAGTCCTTCTGCCCATAGCCAGAACTATGTTTGTCACCTATGTTCTTTGAAATTCTGCAACTGATGCAATGTTCAGAAGTATGTCCATATAAATGCAAGAAATTGAATGAAAAGCTTTTGTGATCTTGCCCAGCAACCAAAATTTATGAAGAATTAAAAAGAAAAAATGAATGTTACCAAATGCTCTACTTTTTTGTAAAACAAATTATTCAAATGATAGAAAACAAGAAAGAGCGAACACAAAAGAAACAGTAAGCACAGCAGAGAGAATCCACACTATCAAGTAGGACAAAGAAAGAAAAATAATTGCAGTCACCCAAGTTTTGCTGTTACCACTACACACTTCAAAGAGAGCAAGAGTCATCTTGACCTCAGAGACTGACCCTATAAAGAGTATTAGGAGTACCTGAAGAATGAAGGTAGTTCTTACTAATCAAGAACAACCACATGCCTCTTTCATCAAGAGTGAGAGAAGGAAATCCTAGGTAGTTTTAATCTGAAAGTTATTATAAATACCTCCTTTGGAGGAAGATGAAACTAGGAAATTTAAAAATCTGTGTATTTTGGAAACAATTACTTAAATACTTAAAGCAAGTAATTCATTAAACTTAATCTATGCTTCTTGTCCCAAAAATTGTTTTAGTACTACATTGTGCCAATTCATGACTTTCTAGTTTAGCTAGGACAACTGCAATCCTAATCTTTTGTTACTGTAGGAGCATGTTAGCATCTAGTTCTAAATTAAACTTTCTTATCCCCCAAACTGTAACCTAGACCACTACCAGATTGCATCATTAAGTGACACACTGTTAGAATAATCTAACCATGCTGAGCTACTCAAGCATGGTAGGACAAGAAACAATGTTAAAACACCAGTGTCCCTAGACTTGCCAAAGGGTGGCATGTTCTCCTCCATATGCAGAAGATGTAGGCCAGAACAGCTTCAGGATAAAAGTGCTATTAGTTGGGACTGAATACATAAAAAAAAAATCTGATTCAGGATGATTCAACTTCCAGTAGCAGCAGTCTTCTGACCTTTTACGTAACTAGCATTGATTTCCTTGCATGAAATTGGATTTTCAGTTACTAAAAGATAGAAAATATTGCATCTGATCTATAGCATCTGCAGAAAAGCAGAGTTCACCATCTGATACTTACTGTTGTGCTTAAAGATTCGAATAGTTGCTCCTGACAGTCTTGCTCCAAGCACTAGTGATGCATGATTCAGTTCATCACTCAGAATCAGACAGCCCTGAATTAGAAGGGGAAAGAAGAATATATTAAAAGGTTATGTTTCACAGCCAAGCATGTAAAACCCTTCAGCTCTGCAGCGCTTCAAGATCATTTAAGAAAAAAAAATTCCAACATAAATGCAGGCAACTCCAACTACTTGCAAATTCCAACTAGTCCAGGCAAGACTGGATAAGATCCAATTTGCAGCCTTAGTATGGCAAATAAAAATACAGAACTGCTCTTAACTGAAAGAAACACTAAAGTTTCACTTTTCCTGGAAGTCCTGCAGCTGAATCTCTGAATATCTCATGCTGTTGATGAGTACTCATCCTCCTATGCAGTCAGGTATAACAGGGAGCAGAGCAGCTTGCCACAGTTGACTCAGCAAGTCGACAGTGCTGCTAAGAAACAGGACACCAAAGACCTAGGTTAAAGGCCTTCCCAATGTTGCACTATGACTTTCATTAGGAGGCAACCACTGACTAAACCCACATGTAGATGGAGGTAATATACAAGAGACAGAAAGTGGAAAACAGAACTGCATGATGAACTGGAGAAATTTTCTGACGCCATTAAACATGATACTGAATTAATTTGCTTTTTCAAGAAAAGCCCAGAAGATAAATCCTTGGACAAACATTAAAACAGGATATGTATGTTTTGAGAGCAGTGATGATTACAGGTCAATAACTGATATGCTGAACATTCAGTCACAGTATTATCACTGTGGGCTACAGGAGTGTATGTATATTGGGGGATTAATACATAAGGAAGCAACAATATTTCTAAATAACCTTGGCACACTCCAATTACTATGCAAACATGCTGCAATTTTAGAAGTAACTTTGCTCAGTTAAAAATCTAGAAAGGGTGTCAAGATGCTGAACATCTGACACTGAAGCATGGTCATTACATGCTTCTCTAATAACAGCTTAATGAGGGAGGAATCAAGAGGATTTCTCTGCAATGGGAATTACTAGAAAGGACTGTCAAAAGCATTGCTTATAGTTATACCAGGAGTGTCCCAGACAACAGGAGTACTTTGTCCTAGAGTTAACCTTATTTCCCTCTAGTGCAGAGTCTCAAAGTCTCTGCACTAGAACTGTGATGCCCCTGGAAAGATTCTACATTCTGAGAAAGCCAGAGACTGGTTTTCCCCAGAAAATGCCGCAAATGCCATGTGTTCATACTGCTGCTACAAACATTCACATTACATGTTTCATAGACTTTGGCATATGAAGTATGGAAATTTCCAACTAGTGTTTGCTCTTTAGAACTACTACATCAGACAGAGTATGTATATATCAGAGGACATTGCTGTTAAACACTACTGTATCAAGAAAAGTGAATATAATAATCCAGTACTAGTATCCTTCTTGAATAGCAGAAAGCAGGAAAAGTGATAGTTAAAAAAAAAAAAGAAGAAGAAAAGAAAAGAAGAAATTCACTGCCTAGAAAAAGCTTTTCCATAAAAACAAGGACAAGCTTTTGGTGGAGAAAGTAGATTTAACATACTGATGAGCAGCAGCCTCTTTTCACCCTCTGCTAAAAGGACATTCAATTAGAAACAAATTAATTTGAAACTGAAGAAGTAGTAACTAGTCTAGTACTAGTCTGCCACTAGAAAGAGGGCAATGGATCACATAAGGCACTGGCACAGAATAGCCATCACTGATGGTTATATGTAAAACTGAGTGATGCTACTACAGTGATAAGACTTCAGTTGCATTTATCAGCAAATTTACATCTGAGAAAGCATTCAGTACAAGGCTAACAGGAACTGGAGATAACACAACTTGGGCTCTAGAAAAATATGTCACTGAAGAACAAGAACAGGCTTACCACCACATCCTGCAAGGCCCACTGAAGTGAATGCCACATTTTACTACAGAGTGCTATGTAAGTGAATTGTGTAATTCAGTCCTGAGCACTTAATTTTACAATTCACCTATATGTGGAAATTAATGTGCTTTCTTATAACAAAAAAAATCCTTCGAGCATCACTGTTCTAACTCAATTGTATAGTCTCTCTCCATCCAGAGCTATGATGAAAAGCTCTGTGCTAAAGGCAGTACAGAACACTGCTATTACCTAGTTATACTGATTATATTAATGGTACTTAATCTAAAACAGGTAAGTTTGAGAGTCTAGCTTAGCCTCAAATGGTCTAACAACCACTGACAAAGTAACCCTCAAATGTCCCATTATCTGTGGTCTAGACTCAGCACACTTGGCAGTGAGTGTATCAGGCTCCTGAAAAACTGGCTGTGAACAGAGGGTCTCTACTGCTGAAAACCACCAGGTGCAGAAACACCTGATTTTAGTGATGCTTTAACAGTGCTGAAATACAGCTTTCAGTCTACATCAACTATACTTATTTTCAGCATGTGCTTAGTAGAGGCTGCTGTTAGCAAGGCATAGTGAATAAAGATCAACTAAATAATGATGAAGCTTTTGAATTCCTTTTGCTGACTAATACTGATCAAATTATGGCATAGAGATGGATCCAGTCACTGTATATGTTGTTATTAAAAGAAGATTCAGTAGGAACACAAACTAAGTGCTTCAGGATTCCACAGAGCAGAAAAAGAACAGGTGGTCCAGTATATGTGAGCAACTACACTCAGCAGCTTGTTTTTAGCTAATCAAGTAATAATACAGGAGCCCAGAATAACTTGGAAGATACCTTGTGTTCCAAGCAGCTTTACAGTTGAAAATGTAAGTAGGACATGCAAAAAGACACAAACAGTCATTAAAAAAAAACAGCCCAAGAGTTTAATCAAGCATGACAATCTCTGAGCTTTACTGAGGACTATCAAAGCATTGCCAAACAGGTAGTGCACACTCAATTAATTGTGTACTGGGTGGTGCCAAAATTCAGGATTTATGTGTCCTTATTTGCAGACAATGAAGAAATCAAATGTGCAGTGAGAAGCAACTTCAGGCAGCCAAAAAAAACATTCAGTGAACATTCTGAACAGCAAAATGGTTCATCTGACAAGAACTCTCCTTCATTACCAGAGTGCAATTTCTGTTTGGAGTATTCACTTGAGTATAAGGGCACCTGTATTGTTATGAGGCAAAAGCTTCTTACTACTTTATTTCAAGAAACTACAAAAAACTCAGAATCCTCATGACTAACCCAGCAGGCATTCCTGTACCATTTATGACAAGAGTTGGTTTACTAGAGTGAGCTGCATAAAAAAGGTATGTTACATGCCCTGAAATTTACTGTTCAGATTCCCTTAATGGTTGTAAAACCTGCTGAAGTTCAAAGGTGAAAACTCAGGATCTGAGTAAGGTGTCTCAAGGGTATTCTCATAAGGTATTGAAGATATAGAGGGCTCCACATGGAAAAAAAGATTGAGTAAGTTTGCAGGAATGAGTCATTTGTAGTGACAACAACGAGCAATCTACTTAAATGTACCTGACAGTGTGTACTGAATCTGAAAGGTCTCATAGAAATTATGAATAATTTTTCTGTTGAACACAAAACTGGAGAGATGTGGAAAGACAAAGAACCAAAACATGCAGGTAAAAGTCATTTCAGAAGCAACATATGTTGCTCAGATTCATAGCACTGCAGAAGTATTTGACTCCAGAAAGATTAGATTTGAAGCACTGAATTTCTCTCTAGCATCAGACTCAAAGAAGTTTTTTTTTAATATGCAAAGCATTTGATACTTAAAACAGACCAAAAGAAAAGGCCCATTATGTAGACAGTGCTACTTCCTTGTTAAAAAAAAAAAAAGAAAAAAAAAAGAAAAAAGCATACAGGAAGACACTGCAGCTAATGCAAAAGAAAATCAAAAAAGAAAATCAATCACCGGGAAAAGCTGTCAGGAAGAACAAGGCAGCAAATTTATGATCTGTAGATATCAGACATGGAAGATTTAGGAAGTAATCTCAGGAAGTGAAAAAAAAAATTAAATAAAAAGAAAATAATTCAAAATAATTCAGTAGACAGGGGCAAAGAATTCCAATAGACTAGCAGTATTAGGCAGACAGTGAATCATTTGCCAAAAAAAATCCAACCTGTTCCAGTACTTGCACTATTTTACTCTAAGGAGGAGCTAAGAGAACATGTATTTTGCATTAGAAGAAGCAAAGAAAAATTTCATTTTTATCTGATTTTCCAATAACTAAAATAGCACTGGTGGAGAATACTGGACACTCAGACTAATTGTCTCCTGTTTTATGGGGCACACAATAAACATGATGAGTCTTTACAGTTAACCTTATTTCCCTCAAACAACCTTTCTGCTTCTTCCAAGGAAGGATTTTTTAGCTGTCACTCAAAGATAATAAATTCTCCATGTACCAATATGCAACTCAGCTTATCTGTGTAGTTGACACAGTCGGTTCTTAGTGTTTCAAAAGCACCAAATCAGCCAATCAGTCTGTTAATCAGCCACCATCTCACACACCAAGGAATAGCCTGAGGAAGCAAGCCTTAACATGCCAGGCTTTCTTCCAAAGAGAAAGTTCTATGCTGCTACTGGTGCCATGGATGCTGTTTCCCAAAGAGATTTTTGCAATGGTTAGAGATGCATTCTGTGACCTACAGTTTCCATAGAGAATATCTGCAGGGGCTGCCACTGAGGAAAAACAAAAGCAAACAAGTAGCTTTTAGAAAAATTAACCACTAGAATCTTTGCTAGGTGAGCTTTTGTCGACGACTTAAGCCATACCTTGCCAACTAAAGCAGGAATGTTCATAGAGTTGGTTGCAAATCCCATTCCATATGCCATTGCAGATTCCACACCTAGGAACCTGGCAACTAGCTTTTCCAGCTCCTCATGCTTGTCCAAGTTTCCTGCACATAAAATGAATGGGAAATTCAGAGTAAGGAGAAACTTTCACTACTGCTAAATTCTACAAAGAGATTTTCCACCAACCAAGCTGTGCTTTATTTAAAGGCCCATAAGGGAACACTGAAAAAACTCCATATATGAAAACGTAAGTAAAACAACTGCTGTGCAACATAAACTAAATCCAGGAAGTCAATTTGTCTTCACTGAAGTAAAAGCTGCTTTATCAGTTACACTAAAGTTCAATGCTGAAACAACTAATGTTTTAAAGACCTGCAATCAGATACAGACTTAGAAATAAACATTCAGGGAACACACTATCACCCTCCAACTTACCCATCTCCTGCCGGGTGCTGCACACCCCAGCTCCATACTGGGACAGAACTTTAGAAGCTGCTTCTTGGCAAGCCCCAGTCTTCTGTGCAAACCCAAGGTAGTTGTAGGAACCCATATTTATGATGTCTTTTATCACTCTCCCTGTGTATCTGTGTTTTAAAAACAGCACAAGTTAGGACACCCAAAATTTTAAAAATTATCTAAACCAGAAGATTATTACTTCACTTTCCTAGACTATACACTGAAATGTTAAAACTCAATAGAACCAAACATTAAATTATTTCACTACTGCCTCTCATCATCAAACTGCAACAATCAGTTAAAAAGATTCTCTCCCTATCTTACAATCTCAAATTAATTCCCAGAAGAGTTTACATTTACAGGTGAACTTGCTATCACACATGAAATTGCCTGAGGCTTCTCAAACCACCTGTTGCTCTGGCATGTTCCTCCCTCCATCCCAGAAACATACAACTTTTCTTTCAATTACAAAATAACATCTCTAGATCAATTAACTTGGCAGCCTCTCAAGCGGGATATCCTCTAACCACAGAAAGGAAACACATCTGGCACTTTTGTGCTAACAATACGTGACAAGGAAAATAAGGAAGAAGTTCAGCAGAAAAAAATCAAATTTTAATTCTTTTGCCCTTGAAAGCCAAGAAGAGATATAACTAGTTTCACTAAGCACTGTGCTGCAAACCTCTTCACATCAAACCTGTGATACGTCATTTCCAATTTGTAAAAATCCTTTCTTGTATTTCTCATTTTGTTTCTACAGACTACTTCAGTTCTGACTCAAAACAATCATGTCAAATTCAGTTCAGACAGCAGCATTTACTTAAAGTGGCAGAACTTCTTCTCAATCAACACAAAGTCACAAGCAGCAGCGCAATCCAATATATCCACACCAGGTATTAATACCTTTGTGCATATAATATTAATTTTATTACAGGTGTATGTCTAGGAAATCTTAATACAGTAAGGTAGCCAAAAGATTGTATCACCCTGGTGGCTAAATCTATTTCAAAAGAGCAAAATTCATTGATTCAAGCTGCTAGAAAGCTCAAACTTTCATAATAAAGCTCATAATTCAGTGCTGCTTTGACCTCACACCCTACAACTAGCTCTTAAGAGACCCTATATTTTAAGGCAGCTCTTGCAAGTGTTTTCTTCAGTTTTGACTCACGTGAATGTCCAGTTATAGTCATGGGAAACTCTCTCCATCATGTCCACTTTGGCCCCTGGCACACTGCAGATTGGACGGTTCCAGCTGTCCCGAATGCGCATGTAGAGGTTTCTGTTGTAGAAATTTTCAAAGTCCTGGTATAATGGGACAAAGTCCTGAAAACACATCAAAAGCACTCAAAGTAAAAGGAAAATATATATGACAGTAAAATAGGAGTAGCATGAATAATTCTTATCTGTCATTCTGGCATAAAGAAAAAACTCAGGAAAACACAAAATATAAAATAATCCCCTTCATTAAATCGTGGGCATATAATCTTTGCAGGAGAGCTACAGTCAGCCTCTGAGTTAAGCAGAGCAAGGGAACACGCAATGGCTTTTTGGCACCAAACATTGCTGTACTGAATACACAAAGACTTTGGAAAACTAAGGTACTCTACCATATTTTATTCTGTGCATAAGGAATGCATTTAATATAGCACCACTAGCATTATTCTACACATTACCATAAGAACCTTCCACAATTTTTTGTTTTCAATAGAAGCTAATAAGCTGCATTATGGTACCTCTCTTCTGCACAGCTTATCAACACTGAAGTCCCACATGATTTTTATGAATGAGCCTTTCCTGAATTTTAGCTTCCCTTCCAATGTTTTCCAGGAAAAGTAAGTCACTGCCTTGAATGGATAACACAAGAATGTCAAACTAACCGTGGCAGCAAGGACATCTGAGCACTCAAGAACATTTTTTTCTTGCCCCAAAGTCACAAGATTTCCTTTTTACTATTTAATTAAAGAAAGTTTGACATTTAGTAGAGATAAGAATGCATAATTCATTTGCTTCTGTTGGGGGGGGGAAAAAAATCACCACCTTTTTAATCATCTACAGAAGGAAAAAGTAGAATTTATTACAGAGGTATGAGCCAGCCAAGCATTTCTTCCTGTTTTTCACAAGAAAAATGCAAACATTGTGATGGGAATTTTATTTTTGGTGACAGTATGAGAAAGGCAGAGTATCTCACCAAGTACTGTAGTGTCAGACATTTGTACCACTAAAGCAAAACTGAGAGCATTTATGGCAGATGTTTAATAAAAACACAAACAGGCACTTACAAGCTCTTACTTACAATGCTTGCCTGTAGGAGTACTTGTTTCATTACCTTCCTATTTTAATGATTTAACAACCTTGCCCTTGCAGTTTGGAGTAAAAGAACATTTAGGTCCACACCTTTGCATCCTCCTACCAGCAGCTGCACAGAAAAGACCAAGCCCAAAAGTGCCAACTTCTAAGCAGATACAGCTGCACCTAAACCCATTTCTGATCTACCTGTGTCAAAAAGGCACAAAGATATTAATTTCCATAATTTCAACTGTGGAAACATAACCCAAATTTAGCTAGCCATCACTCTTTCAGAGAATCACAAGTATGTCCTTTCTCAAAGGGACAGTGGGAATAAAATTTCTAGGTCCTAAGATGCACAGAAGGGCAATTGTTTCTTCCATGTTCCTGTCCCAATTCATGACACAAAATCAAAATAATTACCTGCAATTGTTTCAAACCCTCTGCTATGTTACTTGTAGAGGGGTGGGGGAAGTGAGACCAAAAAGAAACACTGGCACATTAGAAGATCAATACTTGAGAGATTTGTTAAATCTAATTAAAATCTACTGAGATGCTTCTCAGTATTTTCACCTCCTCTTAACCATCTACACACAAGATTTAAGCTTTGCACAGCTATCCAAGCACACCAACTGTGTGAGTTGAGAAACAATTGGTATTTTAGCCAAGGTTCTTGGCTGGAAGGGGGAGGCTGGAAATGAGTCATCTTACCAACTCAAGCAGGTATGCCTGGGTCCATACAGCCCAGTCTCACTTCAGATTACTCATCAGAGGAGTTTTCTTTTGAAACCCAAGCTGACAAAGCCAGAACAGTAACAAGCTCAACTGGTGACTTAAGGACAATCATCCCCAACAGGCTGGCACCATCAGTATAGGTAACACAAGCATTTTCTTTTAAGAAAAAGCCAACATTATAACTAAGTTTAAAGTTACTGCGAGGTAGAGAAGTTCTCTGAACCTACTGAATTATGATAAAGAAAAAATATGTTTTAAAAGTCAACAAGAATTCCAGGAATAAATTATGGGTAAGGGAATGAAGGTTTAATATGGGACACTAGCTTTAGTTTTTTGGAGTACCAAATTGTAGGACTGTAGTAAAGGGTTTTAAGTATAGGTGTCAGCACACTGTCAACTCCTTTGTTATCTATACATGTGCTGCTCCCTCCAACAAACCATCCTCACATAGGCCTCATGAGAAAGTTCCTTGGAATAGAGCAAGCAGGATATGTTATTTTGGCATAATGCAAAAACGGATTGTCTATTTCCTCAGTGATCCTAACCCCACTGAGGGGTTCTCACGACCCACACATCTGAGAATGTAAAAAACAAAGGGTAAGGATATTGTGCCTTTATAAACTGATACTGACTTTTGGAGTTTCAGAGCCCTCTTTTGGAGCTGGCATACAGGAGCAGATGGTCTGCTGGTTGGTTTGGGGGCTGGTTTGTTTGTTTGTTTACCTCCTCCATCCTTCTACAGCGTGCCATTCCAGATGAAGAGCAGATAGTACAACAAAAAGACCACTTGAATTCCTCATGCTAATTTAATGTTTTCAATCTTTGAACCAAAAAAATTAAACACCTGGGGAGGAAGGGAAGGATGAACTCTATCAATCCATACTTTTCACCCAGAGGGCACTGGAAGAAACTCCCAAGGGGAAGTGGTCACAGCACCAAGCCTGACAGAGATCGAGAAGTTTGGAAACCCTCTCAGGCACATGGTGTAACTCTTTGGGATGTCCTGTGCAAGCCTCAGTGTCATTGTGGGTGCCTTCCAACTTAGCATATTCCTTTATTTAAAATTTTTGACACATGCAACCACAGTGCTCAGCTGCAACAGCATCCTAGAGCTGGAAGTAACCACTATCACCTTTAAATCTTGTTACTGTTATCTTCAGATCTTATTATTTTTCTATGAAGTTCTGTCATCTTATTTCAGATCCAACACTCTTCCTAGCTGTAAGGGTCCCTAAGAATATCAGTCTGAGATTAAACACTTTCATTCAGAGGAAAAATATTCTAGGAATTGCTTCTTTGAGCAATCTTCTGAGTAAACGGTCAAACAACTGCAACACTGGACCCAAAACAGGGAGCAAAAGCAGCAAGTTCTTTCATTTATGGAGCTAAAAAAATCCTAAACAGCTCTATTCCTGCCAATTTCAGCCTAGAACACATCCCCTATTGAGGGGATGCCTGATGAAGAAATTGAAGTACTAGTGGTCTCCCAGAAGCCCCAAAAGCATAGCAATTTCAATGAAAAGCACAGCCAGTCAAGGGAAGAACAAAATTCTCCCTTGGGATACAACACCTTAGCATAGGTGATTTGGGAATTTATTATTTCATCATACTCTAAATGAATATTGCAACAAGTGAAGGTCATAATGAGAGCTTTGTAGCCTCTAGCTCAGGGCACAGGGACATGCAAATGCAGTGATTATGCTACTTTCAGAGCCAAGTTTTCACAGCATTGCACCTAAGCTAACAAATGGTGCCATGAGCACCAGCAGGCTTATCTGCAATTCACATAACGTTCTCTCTGATAACACACACAGAACTGACTCTAAACAGAAATCCAGCAGACAACTGCAACAAATTCCAGGCCTCTAAAAGGAAGCAGAAAGACTAGTTTCACCTTGCTGTTGTGTGAGTCAAGGAAAGTGGAGCAATAGCTGTGGGTAGCCTTTGTATCATCAGGAGGCCCCTGATGAGCTACACAGATGCTAAGACAACACTGAACAAACAATTCCAGTTTACTGCCCCTGAAATATCCCTACAGCTGGACTCCTGTGAACACGTGTTTGAAAATCCCAAATGCTAGCAACATGTTCTAGCAGGGCAAGCTACAGAGCATGAAGCAGTATATTAGAGAGTTACCAGGCCCATTCAGAGTCACTTCCAAACACAAAACATGGAAGGTAATCAACAGGCAAATCAGGCTGGAGGAAAGGTTAAAGTGATTTTCATCCTGCCTGTAAAATCCTGGAAGCATTTTGCAGATTTAACTATATTTTTTGACTAGACAGCACACTAAATTGGTATGCATTAATTGATTCCAGGGTAATTGAGAATTGTTAATCTTGCCATTTACCCATGCCTAAAACAGACCAGTAATGCTTCAGAGAGGATGTGCTACACAACACTGGTTTCCAGGAAAAGCTCAGCTGGATGTATTTTAAACAAAGCCAAAACCCATGAAACTATTTCCTGGAAATCAGTACTAGCAAAGTCTGCCCCTTTTCACCCTTTTGTGTTTCAACACTGAGTGAATATTAGGCTTTCTTAGAATCATTCATATCAATGCATGGCTCTAATAAATTCCAAGGAATTTACCTGCCACCAGAAACAGCTGTAATTCAAACCTGTTCAAAATTCTGCTCTGCTTTTTAAATTTGCAGTTTTCTAGTTGTAATGCAGAGTAAGATTATACTATTAAGTGACAATTTAAGGAAGAACTTGCTCTACTGAAATAAACTGCCCTCCATAACATAGAAAAACTGAGTCTTTTCCTTGTGTTTGTTTTTAGTACTATTTTGGACCTAAGTTTATGTTATGCTTTTAAATGTAAGCACCTTCAGAAACACACCACAGAAAATCCACATACTTCAATTCCATGATTTTCAGAACAAGTTCATTCAGCCCGTTACAAAATACTTCCTCACACTACATAATTTTGTAATTTTTTACCTATGCAATTATGAATTATTTCAAAAAGGTAAGGCTAATCCTTTTGCTTGATACTTAAGAAAATCATAATAACCGAGTTGGCTCTTGAGAATTTCAGTAATAAAAAAATGTAAATTTCCACACAGAGGAAAGATTCCCACAAATCTGCCAGAAAGCACTCCAGTGTAATCACAGGGGTTCTCTAATTTGCACATATTAATAACAATAAAAAGGTGAGTTTTGAACCTTTTTTACACACTAGTACCTTACCAAAAGGTGACTGGGCTGTCATCCAGCAGAGAGACTCAAATATTGGAGAAAAGAACTTCAAAACAAGTAATTGAGCACACACATCTCCCTCCACCTCCTGCACCAAAATAACCCCTGGCTCCCACACTAGACATGTTGCAACGTGCTCTCATCAATTCATTTGCAAGCAAACAAAGCTTAAAGCAGCAAAGGGTGAGGATAAGTACTGTATGTTCTAGACCTCACGTGACTGCTTTTCTATTTGTCTGATATCAGAAGCAGCTATTACAACCTAAGTGCTAGAGACATGATTTGGGGAAGTACACTAGGCTGAGATTTCTCCAACACGAAAACTTCTTTAAACAGGATTTCCTATTTTTCATTCTTACGCAGTATTCACTGGCACTTCTTATTAGCTCCATCCACAGACATCCTATGTGCAAAACAAAACCAGAATACATGCATCTCCTCATGGGAGCTGTAACCAAGACAGAAACTGAAAGAGTTTCAATTCTTTCAGGGTAAGATGCAATGCTGAGTTAATTTATAAAAATATTCAAGGCCACATTTCTTTTAGGACTAGGATAACCGTTGCTAACAACCTCTGTGCTTCAAGGTCCTCTGTGGCAATCTCTACTGAGAGCCTAATATCAATAATGTGTTACTGAATTACACCTACTACCTCCTTTTTTCACTCACTCAGATGTCAGTTTTAGCAATAGTGTAAATTTAAACTCCTGTACTTTTAACCAATATGAAACGCGTTTTACTCATTAAACTCCTGTAAGAATGTTTTGGAATTTAGTGCCCTACTATGAATCTGCTTAATTCTACCTCACAGTGTACACAGAAAGAAGCTACTGTGAGGTCATTTTAGGCACTGGTCCTTAGCTACTGTAAAAAGATATGCACTTTATTCCAGTGCTGTCTCCAAAAAAAGGCTCCAAAGAAGCCTTCCCTTTTTTAGTTCTTTCCTGCCACTCTTGATTATTTGTTTGCCTTACTGAGATACCCTTTCTGCCCCCTGTCATTTTCTGCTAGCCAACTGCTTGTGCGGCTGCACAGAGAACCAGAAACCAGCAACTGGAAAAGGAACTCCCTAACATTTTATAAGCCACATTAGCTCTCTAAAGCAGTTGAGAAAAATAGTTTGAGAACCCAAATCAGCAAGAATAAGACCTTTGGAGACAGCTCACTGGTAGTCGCACTCTTCTAAGAGGGATCACATAAGGAGTTAGCAAAAATATACCTTGTGAACTTCATGTTTCAGCAGTAGCTTCCTAAAAACAAGTAACTCCAGTGGGGAATAAAGATCCCTAAAAATAATTTACAAGGAGTGAAAATCAGAATTATCCATTCCAGGCTAACTGCTGAAGCAGGCAAGACCTTTCACCTGGTAACAGAAGCTTTTGTGAGTAGGTCATAACATGAATTAATTCTTTCTAATCACTATCAGTGAGGCACGAGTCAGTACCTCAAATTACTCATCACCTAACCCGCTTGTGTTCTGGACTCCAAAAGAATTTAAAATTGTATAGCTTGTGCTCTGGATCTGACCCACAAGCTTCTCTTTGCAACTGCTTCAGATAAAGAGAATTAATAACATTTCTAAATCAAAACTCAGCCACCAGATCAGCATCAGAAAGCCTCCCATTGGTGTGAAACTAAAACCAGAGCCTTTCTTTAAGTACTGATGCTGGAATATGCAGTCTCTCTTTCCCAAACTCTTGTTTCTACAGCTGTACGTTCATGTAACTGTTGATGCAGCTTTGCACTGAGACAGATGAGGAAACTATTCTGAGGAAAAATAACTCAAAAGAAACATTATTTTTTTTATAACACAGCACTACTTGTATAGCAATTGGGGCATCCAGAAGACAAGGAAAACAGCAGAAAACTTTGAACACCACTTCTCCCCAAAGAAACACTCAAGCCTTAGCCCATTTCCCATGAACATTATTTCCCAGTGGTTACCTTCTGTTCTTCTCTTTCTGTTGCATTTTGACACTTCTCAATCTTCCACTGCCGCATGAAATCTCGCAGGTATCCAAAGAGAGTGAGAACGCCATAGCCTACATAGGTCAGCACAGCAACCAGCATTGGTGTTTCTTCAAAAGCTTCATTGAAAGGCCTTTTGTATAATCCTCCATTGTGCACAATATGATTTATCTATAGTAAAAATTTAAAGAGAGGCAGTTGAGGTATTAATTGAAAAAAAGGCAGACATTTCAGAGCAGTCCCCAGCTCCGCATCCCCCACCACTCAGCAAAAACTGCTTCCAGCTAAGTTCAGCCATTACTGATAAACACTGCCAGCCTCCATATATGAAGATGCCAAATTGCTGATATAACCCAAGTCACAGTTACCAATCTAGGGTAGTTTAATCTAACATCTCATTAAAACTATTTAGTTTGCGAAGCTACATACAGAGCATTGCTTACATCTAGGCAAACCAAAATTAAAAAAGTGCCTCCACCAAGAGAGCACAAGTAACAGAACAGCGATGCGTCCCAGGGTTACTACAGAGAAAAACAAAATAGAAAGTAATAGTTTTATTGATCTAAACAATATATTCTCAGACTTGGAAGCCTGTATTAGTGTAACAAAACAATCATAATCCACGTATCTCTGTAGCTGTTAGCCTAAAGACGCTGACATAAACACTGTACTCATCCATGAGGCGGACATGACACCACAGACAAAAAAGTCATTGTATACAGGGTCTCAACACAGCATATATGTCAGCATACAGAACAAAGAATGGCTTTCTGCATAAATCCACAGTGAAAGTCATCTTGCTACTTACATGTCATCTGAAGGTAGGAGATTTACTAGCTGCCTAGTGTATATAGCAGGTCTGTCTCAAGCACAATTACTAGAATATGCAATATTTGTGACTATTACAGAAAAACTTCACAGGTACAGGGCAAATGCTCACCCAATATTAACACTGGGGGGAAAGATCATAGTTTTAACTAGACTGCTTTTTCAAATTGTTAAGTTAAAGATCAGATTTCATAAGTTAATGAATGAAAACATAGAAATCTAGCCATTAGATGCAAATGGATATCTTGGCTAAGTTTTAGAATGGCTGCACGATAACAGAATAGCTACATATGAAAGAACATTCTATAAGACATAAATCCCCTTTGTGTGGCATCAAATATATATAAAAGTAAGAAATGTATTTCTTAAAACGTACTAATCAAAAAAACCTCAACACCTAGGAAAGAGATTGAACCTAAATTCATCAAAAAAAGACAACAGCAAATAATTCCTGAGGGGTGTGGGCCAGCAGATAGAATAAAACCAGTTATTCACCTATGTCACTCATACTATCATATGGGAAAGTAAGGTAGAATCATACTAACCTCTACAACAGTTGATGAATCAATAAGGCACACATACTTGCTGGCATCACCAGACACTGAATTATTTGGAAAGTGATACCTGCTCATCTCATGTGCTGGAGCAAGTCTGTGTTTTATGTCTGTCACTAATATGAAAGCAATTTTTCAGAAGCAAGGGGCTGTTCTTAGGAATACAATTATGCTATAGCAGTGCAGTCACCAAGTATAAACTGCAACAGCACCTTCCCTTCTGACAGTCATTTCTACCTCTTCCCTTCCTCTGACATGGTTTTAAGCAAAGCAAATGCTTGATTTGGACACAATAGTTGTGGGGACTTATGAATAGGTCAATGTATGGAAACAAAATAGCAAAGACAGAGCAGGAACTTCTCTTTTAGCAGCAGTACTTAAAGACAGATGCAGGTAACCAACTTGCAGTGCTTTGAGGCCAGGTTCAATACTGAAGTATTATCTTAAAAACACACTGCATACAGCAGTGGCTTAAGGTAGAAAATTACCATGGCTTTGGCAGAAGCGTAGGAACACTTGCTTACCACATTGCAGCTCAAGTGCTGGCAATTTAAGGCTTTAGTGCAGGCCAAAGGTTCACACACCATTCTCGTCATGAACAGACCAGCCGAAGAAACTGCCCCTGCCACGCTCACTCCCACTTTGAGCCATCTGCACCAGCCTCCAGCTAGTATAACTAAAGCAACTAAATCTGATTATCAGCATAGCATCCCTTCAACACGGAACTGATCCATGTTGGAAATATAATTGTCTGCAGAAGGTTATTCATTAGACCTTAACAGTCTTTACAGCACTGCTCCACAAAGTCATTTGACAGAGCTCAGCAAACAAGAGGCAGCAGCTTTTGGAGAGAGAGGAAGGGCATCAGCACCATGACAATCACAGAATCAGTGAGCCAACAATGCAAAGGAAAAACCGTGAGAGCCACCTACCTCTTCTCTATTACTCTCAGAATTGCTTAACTGTATCACTGTGGCTCCTGTACACAAAACTATCGAATTTTGTTGCATCCAGGTACAAGGAAGATGACACACTGAAGCTTCAACCAGCACACAGTTTCACAGCTTGGGGAATTACAAGTAGAAGTTTGCATCCTCACATTGTCAGATCAGGTTGTGAAGGAGCAGGCACATTACAAACCTGCCACCTGTGCCTGCCTACCAGCAGCTGATTTCTGTATAAGCAGACAGAAAACTGGTAGTGACTACTTTGCAAATAACCTAGATTGAATAACTAGAGATCACATCAAAGCTTATCAGGTTACCAAGCACCAAAAAGTAGTTACTGAAAAAAACAAAATAAGAGACCCAAATCTATATGCAAACTTAATCAAAATAAAAACATACCATTTTTCCAGGTCTTTGGAGGTGCCTGTACTTGTAACAAATGCTAAAACTAAAAAAACTATTCAATATGGTCAATCCCAACATTTCACTAAGAAAGGCTTTTTAGGAATACCTGTATTGATCCAACCCATACTCCAATCAATTTCACCTCTCATTTTTCTTCCACCAGTACTAATACATCCTTAAATTTGCATGTCAGCTATGGTATCAGCTAAGCAGCTTGTGTTATCCTAGCTGAATCAAAAAAATTAAAGACTGAATGCAATTCCACAAACTCTTCATGAAGCATATGACTGTAAAAAAATCTTTAGAATTTGACTACAGAAGAGACATTTGTAGTCACATTAAATACAAGCCTATTTGTTTTTCAAGCATGTAAGCCTTTAAATGAAGGCTTACATGCTGCAAGCTCCAAAGCTGCTGCAAAAGAACAGCAATTTCAGTTCCAGAGACCAAGAAAGAAGGTGGCTACAGTTCAGTGCCTAATTTCCTTTTATCGGGAAGAGAAAAAAGGTGTGGAAGATTAAGACTTTTATGATTTCAACATTCTTTATGATCATAAAGTGAGCCATGACCTTTGAAGTAGAATACACAGCATATCCAAGTACAAAGAACAGTCAGAGTTCACTTAAACACATGGATCAAAAAATGATGTGTATGCTCACCTACAACTCTCTTTCCTGTACTGTGCAGAATACCTGTATGCAGAAGAGCACCATCACATTAAGGAACTCAGCTGCAGGAGAATCAGAGAGCACAACTCAGCTGCTTACAGAAGGCAGCAAAGAACCAGCCACAGGTAATGCCTGTGCTGGGTCAAACTCTTGGCAAAACAAAACACATGAAACAGTATTGAAGCAGTTACTGAGCTGCTGCAGCATCAAACAGCTACTACTAGAAAGGACTACACTGGTCTAAGCAGAACACATGAGAGTCTGATGATAATCACAGAATTTACTGAGTTGGACCCACAAGGACCATCAAGTCCAACTCCTGGCCCTGCACAGCACAACTCCAAGAGTCACAACACCAATTTGAGGGAGCTGTCCAAGAGCTTCTTGAACTCTGTCAGGCTGTGACCACTTCCCTGGGTAACTGTTCCCAGGTAAAGAACATTTTCCTAATATCCCACCTAAACCTGGCCCAGTACACCTTCATGCCCTTCCTTTGGGTACTGTCACTGATGACTAGAATGAAGAGATGAGTGCCTGCCCCTCCTCTTCTCCTGTTGAGGATGTTGTAACTGTAATGAGGTGTGCCCTCTTCTCTGTAATGAGGTGTTCAGCCTCCTCTTCTCCAGGCTGAACAGACCAAGTGATCTCAGTGACTCTTCACAAAGCTTTACTTCTAGATCCTTTCACCATCTCTGTAGCCCTCCTTTGGACACTCTCTGTATCCTTTGTGGGTGAGAAGACAAAAGTTGTGCACAAACACAGGAACATTTGCAGATGCTACTGTAGACAACACGCAGGATTTACCAAGGACTCTGGGCACACACCTTGCATGGCAGGCATGTACTTTAGGAAGAGAAGATGCTACAAGTGCAATACATGCTGCACAAGTACGAGAGCAGTACAGGGTAACTGCTTATTGCTGCTATCCCAGGAAAGGACCAGCACCCTGCATTAAAGAGGCCATTTCATTTCATTTCATGCTGACAGAAAGAACAAATTCACATGAACCTGGCAGACGTAATGTAAACACATTAAAAAGATTATTTATGCTGGAACACAACTTTGCTGAATTCTTATTAAAATTTAGTAGCTTCTCACTGCCACATACCACACATACTGCAGAAATTTTACTAACAGGTTTGCTGCTTCTATTTTTAGAAACACACTGTGAAAGACCACATCCATGAGTGTGCCTCCGTATGCAAAAGTGGCCACAGTCATTACAAAGGATTGAGGAAATCAGCACTAGAGAAATCACAGCAGTGAGAATTCCATGAAAGGAGCTGCTCTAAAATGTTAGATACCTTGTGGTAATTTTACTGTCACCTCTGGCCCTTTTCCTTGCACTGCTTTGCTTAGACTTTCAATCTCAGATTGTTGCACAGGTAAAAAGACAAAGTGTTTACTGCCAAAGTTAGAATTAACTGGTTTGAATCACATTTTAAGCTTTAAAAAAAACCAAAAAAACACAGGAGATAAACTTGTTTTATAAAACAGACTTTAAGAGTATATTTTTAATTAAAGATTTGTTCTTCTTGACAGGTATTGTCAAATATTTTTATTTACAATTAGTTAGGCACAACAAATTTGACAGTCCTCGTATAAGATGCACTTACCACATCTACAAAAACAGTGTAAATCCTCATAACATTTAAAAGTTGTTTGGGCTTGGGTTCTCCCCTGCCCTCCATTAGCAAGTAAAGGATGCAATAAAACTTGGTGCTTTTTGCTAACTACATATTGGTGACAGTTTGAATTCTACTGAGAAT